AAATAGTTTCGTCTATCAAGAAACCAGTATCAACACCAATAATACCGTCAGCGTCGAAATCCAACGCATAAATCACTCTTGGCAACAGGTGCTACTATGGACTGAGCAGCCAATTGAAAAGTAAAGTCCTCTCTCGAAAAACGAAGACTAAACTCTACAAGTCGCTCATCATACCTTACTTACTTGGCGTAGAAACGTGGACGATGTCAAAGCTGATTAGTCGGCTCTAGCAGTCTTCGACAGAAAAATTTTGCGAACGATTTAAGGTCCTTCGAGCATTAGCAACGGCGAATACCGCAGACGATGGAACGATGAGCTGTACCAGCTATACGAGGTCATGTCGTCCGAATGGGTGAAAGCACTTCAGCTTTTTGAATGTATTCGATGCAGTACCCGCTGGTGGAAGCCGAGGAAGAGGAGGACCTCCACTCCCTTGGATGGATCAGGTGGAGATCGACCTGGCTTCACTTGGCAGTTCCATATCGAATGCTAATATTAATTCGGCTATAACCGCGTAAGCGGTGCCAACGCCGATAAATAAGCAAAAGACAAGTCACTTCTGCCTCTGTAGAGCCTTAATTAGATTTATTTTTAGACATCTAGGAGTTGTTTAGTTCGAAACACCAGCTATAATATCATAATTCTGATACCGAAGCTCTCTTAAACTTGAAAAATGTGTCGACGTCCTACGCGACTTCTACTTTAATGCAAGCTGGCTTTCGATGAATTCGACGAAGTAAAGATTTGATATATCGTTCGTAATCGATAGAAAACAAAAATTGAGATGTTTTTCAGACCTGAGCAAGAATTCAAGATTAAAAATGAAGTATGAAGATATGTTTATGTATAGCGGCCTCAATAGCCGAGCCGTTCGGAGGAGGTTTAGAATAAATTGTACTTCCTCCAGTTTTCGGAAAAATATATACAGACGCATACCACAAATTGGAGGAGCAACTATGCAAATTTATTCTAATAGAATGTAAAATTGGCTATGTTTATGATTTTCAGAACTTTAAGCTTTTATCGCTCTTCCCAAGAGGTGCTACTTTGGCCTGAGTATAATTAAAAAGTAAAGTCATCTCTCGATGAACGAAGAAATAATTCCTATCCTACTATATAATGCGGAGGCATGGACGGCGGCAACATCTGATGATCGGCGTTATGAGCTTTCGAAAGAAAGATTTAGCGTATGTTTTTGCAGCTCTACTAGTTTGGAACGGTGAACACTGCAGCTGGTGGAATGATGAGCTGTATGAGTTATACGGCGACATTAACATAGTTCAGCGAGTCAAGAGACAGCGGCTGCACTGCACCGGCTAGGTTATGTGGTCCAAATGAATAAGAATGCTCTAGACTTGAAAGTTTTCCCTGTATTAGCTACCGGAGGAAGCAGAGGAAGGGGAAGACCTCCACACCGTTAAAAAGACCAGGTTGAGAAAGACATGGCTGCACTTGACATTCCCAATTGGCAGAAATCTGCGAAAAGAAGGAATGAATGGTGTAATGGTTTTTAGAATGTATATGCACGTGAGCAATAATTGATATCTAACCTAACTGTTTGTCAAAGAAAAAACGGTGTGAAAGGAAATATGTTGTCTGCCCGTAGGGTCTTTTCTCTAATTTAGACAGCAATATTGCCTTCTTGTTACGTACTTTAAGACCATGGTTTTTTTATATGATCAGATTAGATTTGTTCCAAGCGTTTCAGAATACAAGTTGTAAGCCTCACAACCTAAAATTTTACAGGAAATAGATCTTCGAAATGTTCTCTTCTGATTTTTCAGTGACAGACGAGCAGCAAAAAAGCTCTAGATTTAGTAAATGCAAAAACGGTGCTGGATTGCCACAGATCTCTAATGACGCTTTGTAACCGTTGAAGCGATTTTCAACCGAGCTCCTCCTACGATTTGTGGTTTTGCGTCTTGATACTTTTCAAACAAAAGGAAGGACCTTCAGTTTATATTAAGCCGTATCAGGGCGGCTGACGGTTTTTTATAAGGAGCCTTTAATTCTTGCCCGAAATACACTCGGAGGGGCTTACTTTCCCTGTCGAAGGGCGACCATAATTAGAAAATTTAAATTAATATTTTATTTTAAATAAATTTCATATAAAAGTAGTTAGTATCAGCTATCTATGTTAATCAGTGAAACTAGTAAGAGACAGAGATTTTTGCTAAATTTTCTTATACTCATACTATACATATGTACTCCACTTCGTTGTCTTTAGAGCTCCTAGCCAACTCTGACGCTTATAGATAGTACATATATACATTTGAATATAGTACTTATTTATACAAATAAACGCGCACGCTTGTTAACATTAAATAAAGTTATTTTTACTTAAACTGACATTTATGTGCGTGAAATTATTATTATTGCTTGTTCATGTCCAGGCCATAACAAGTTTAACGTTCACTCCGTTGAAATTCGTATTTCCTTCTGTTGAAGGCTGTGTGCATATGTACAATGCCAGCAAGCCTAGTTGACCAGACTAGGGAGAGTTTGAGTGCTTTGTTTCTATATATGTATGTATACAATTGTGACAGTAACGAAAGTGCTGCCAACTTTTATTCGTCGCCTAAGCAGAATGGACCAATTGCTTAGTCACGCTGGTTTTCAAGGAGAGTTTCAGAGGTTGTCTCGCCGTAAGGTCTGCGGCAGGTTGTTAAAGCATGGGGAAGTGCGTAATTTGGTTGGCAACTCAATGACGATGGCACACACATACATAGCTGAGTATAACATATACAACATATGCACATACATATAGGCATTTGTACTATTGTATTTATTTTTTAGGTCATGTCGGTTTGAAGTTCTCAGATTCCAAGGTAGCTTTGTGGGTGTGTTACAAAGTTCGACCAGGCTCTTGTAGGCTGGTTCAAACATACGTGTTTACATCTTTTTATTTGCTTGTGCTTGTAATAATTATTTTGGAAAACCGCTTACAAAAATAAATTAAGCTTTCAGGCAGATAGTTTTCTGCTTACGGCAATTTGGGAAGAAGCACTTAGTTGGTACGAGGCTATGTACATACATATGTAAATATGTAAAATATAATAATAGAAAATAAATAAAACCAATAAATAAAACGAAAAGAAAATAATGTTAAATGAAAACAACACAAATTAAAAATAATTAAAACTAACGAAATAAAAGTAAGATAAAATGGAATAAACATGAATTAAAATAAAATAAATAGTAAAAAAAATAAAACTAACTTAAATAAAATAAAATAAAATAAAATAAAATAAAATAAAATAAAATAAAATAAAATAAAATAAAATAAAATAAAATAAAAGTTGCTATAAAGCTAAATATAAATAAAATGAGCTAAATTCATATAACATAAATTAATTAATTTTTATTTATAAAAAAATGTATTCTATGTGAATAATACATAACTAGTGCTTTTGTAATTGGTATATGATATATTTCGTACTAGTGTGGAATCAAATAAATGGCGTTTTTTCTCACCACTTTCAGAATTCACTCTCGGATGGTAACAACGTCTAAGTTTTTGTCATTTCGGTGTAAGTTGGAGGCAGGTGGAAACTGAAGTTATGAATATTTGAACGATTAAACGTGATTAGAAGTTAAATTGGTTCAGCCTCTGAATTCAGATTTACATTTTGTTGTTATATTGACGACTATGTAAGTATATGTGAGTGTTTGTACAAATACTACTGCATCGAATTGGGCCAACTTAAGTGAGATTAAGTATGGTCGTGATGTTATTATTGTACGTACATCGGTTAATATATATTGTATATTTTGTACTTGTACATACATAGATATTTTTATTAGTCACAAATTGCTTTTGATAGGTCATTGTGCGGACAAAATATGCAAAAGAAATTACGTGTTGATGGTTATTGTTAGTGTCTTTTATTATTTTCCGGCATTTAAAGTTAGTGGATTGCTACGTCTACGTTTAGCGGAGTGAAGTGCGTCCTTAGGAAATGAGGCAGTGGCATTTGTAAAAAAATAATCGATGGGTTTCTGTATGTTTGTAGGTCTTGAAGTCGAATTTAGAGGATTGCAATGTTATGTATGTATTTATTATAATTTAAGTTTTTGAGCTGGACTGGGATTCGCCTCCTCTTATTTGTGTCTTGCGCTGGTTTTAATTATTTATCCGTTCTTCATTACAAATACCGCGCAATCAGAGACCGGCCAGTAAAATTAAGAATCTTTAGTTCAGGTAGAACTGGGAAAACAGCAGAGAGCAGAGTGACAAAGCTTTTTGAGAGCCGCTGAGAGACTTCTTCAGGCATGAGCGCATTGACAAATATAATCTGTGCTGCAGACAGCTAGAAGAGTATTAGTAATCAATGGCGAATAGTGTTCATCATGAAGAAATACAGACCGTACGGCACATGGTCTAACTCTATAATAATGAAAGTTGGTCGAACCACCACTCGAATCCTGGCGTTCCTAATATCAATGCGCTGTCAATAGAAGGTCATTGAAATAATACATCACTAAAAAAGAGTGATGTCCACTGACAATAAACCACAATTGATGATTAAAGGTTATGCACGGGTCATATTCGATGCCTTAATACCCTCATTTCATATCTTCTTATATGAGAGCAGACATATCCGTCGAATGGAGGCTTTTGTGACATTTTCCTATTTACATATATATATACAATTATATATACTGAAATACTGATTTATGAACGTACCCCGTTGATCGTGGGATATATTCTGTGATTGATATAAGCATCCATTTAATAAGGTTTATCCAGAATTTTACTCCTAAATGCTTAAAATGTTTACAATTTTTATAAAAAGTTTTTATGGATTAATTCTAACATCTTTTTATATATTAATATTAGTGAGTTGAACTTTTGATTCCTTTAACCACTCATTTTAGTAGCTCAAAAATAAACCAAAAATCAAAAAATGTATTTATGTCAGACAGTTAAAAAATTCTATGGAATAGTAATAAAAAATTTAAAAAAGAACTCGTATAGTGTACTATTTAGTAATCACCGTTGGTCTGTTGTCACGCTCACTTGCCGACTAATGAATAAATACTTCTATATACACGGGCACTTGATTTGTGAATAATCCTTTCATTTATTATATGAATCAAGCTAACAATTTATTTGGAAAATTAAATTTACTATAGTGAATAAAATGAAGGGTATTATGAGTGAATTCTCTTCATTAATGTCCTTTTCGTTTACGTTTTCATTCATTTCACTTCAGACATTTGTGCGAATTTCTATGCTGCATGGCGTGCAACATAAATGTTTTCATTTTCCATTTCAACTATGCAATACTCAATTACGAGAACTTGCTGTAAGTATACTCGGGGCGGGTAAATATATCCACACTCCTTCCCTCTTCACTTACCACTCTCCCGAATTGACGTTGTTGTGCGTCTGCGAACTATCTGTCTGTCTGTTGCTACTCGCTGTTTCGGTTCGCTGTTAATAGCTGATGCAGTCAACGATAACACTGATTCTCGAGACAATTATGTGTCTATGTTTGTGTTGGTGGATATACCTGCACAGTGCGCAGAGTGCAGCAGCGATCGCGTTCCAAATGAGCGCGTCTTTCATTTCACTTCATTTCAATTTAAGTTTTCTATTTGTATTTTTTTTCGGTGCACCCCACAACTCCAGCGAACAAGCAGAGTTCCATAATCAAGGGTTCTGCTTTTTAATTTGTCTTTTCTTAGCACTTTTTATTTCCTTTTCATTTTTGTTCTTTATTTTTTGATTACACTGCAGGTGCATTCCTGTCGTTTAGTTTTTTGTTAATGCCACTTGTTGTTGCAATGACTCATCAGCCTTAGTTGCATTCATTGAATTTCTTGCCACTTTCAGTAACAATGTTTGTACGTGTATTAGTTTTTCGTTTTGTATGGCATGCCAGTCGCGCGGTTAAAGAATGTCTCAACAGGATTTGCATTTGTTTCTTCAGGCGTGTTCTAAGCAACATTCACCAGGTTTGCCAGGAGGAATCACTGTAGCTGTGTGTAAATGCAACCAACGGAACCAGTTGTATATGAAAGCAAAAAAATAAAATAAAATAAAAAAAAATTCCAATACTTTTCCTCTTTGGGTGTTTCACATTGCATGTTATAGACTCAGTATTTTTTAATGTCATTCTTTTGTACCTTACGTAACACTAACAGGACAGCATATGGTGTATATGTGTGAGTGCCAATAGTCATGAAATCGTATATCTCATCAACTGTTTACTATTTATTGTATTTTTCTAATATTTTTGTATGCAGCCAAATGTGAGCAGAAGAAACGAGGGAGTTTTGTTCAACTTAAGTTACATCTTTCTAAAAAAAATCTTGTCTAAAAACGAGGTTGCAAGGATAAAAAGAGGCTTGGAGCCCTCTCCCACAAACAACTTAAAGTGAATAAAAATTTAAATTAAATACGGTAAATTAAAAAACAATAAAACAGAATTAAAATTAATTTAAATAAACTGAAATATATAAAATTAAATTTAATCAAATAAAATAAAAAATTAAAGTGAAATCAAATAAAATGATCAAAAACCAAATTAACAAAAATACATTAAAATAAACAAATATATAAAATTAAAATAAAATAAGAAATAAATAAATTAAAATTAATTAAATAAAAACAAAACAAAAAAAAGAAATATAATGAAATGATATGGAATAAATTAAAACAAAATAAAATAAAAGAAAATAAATAAAAGTAAAAAAATAAAAAATTAAAGCAAGTAAACCAAAAAATAATAATTAAACTAAAATAAATTAATACAAAATAAATTTTTAAATATTGGTATTAAAAATTAAAATGAAATTAAATTAAATATAAAAATAAAGCAAAATAAATATAAATAAAAACATACAAAATGAAAATTTAAATAATAAAAAGTAAATAAAACAAAACAAAATTAAGAAAAATTTAAAATATAACAAAACGAAAAAATGTAAATCAAACAAAATAAAATAAAATAAAGTAGAACAATTTAAAAAAAAATTTGGTTTATAAATAAAATAAAATTGAATTAAATAAAATAATAGAAAATAAAATAATTAAACAAAATATAATAAATTAAAATTTTATAAAATAGAATAAAATAAAAAATAATATAAATTAAATGAAAATAAAAAATAAATAAAATAAAATAAAACAAAATAAAATAAAATAAAATAAAATAAAGTAAAACAAAGTAAAAAAATTAAATAACAGTTAATAAATTAATACAAAACAAAATTAATGTAATAATAAAAAATAAAAGAATTAAACGAATTATAATAAATTAAAATGGAATAATTTAAATTAAAATGAAATAACTCAAAACAAATAAGAAAAGTTAATGTAATGATATAAAATAAAATAAAATAAAATAAAATAAAATAAAATAAAATAAAATAAAATAAAATAAAATAAAATAAAATTAAATTAAATTAAATTAAATTAAATTAAATTAAATATATATATATAATTTGTCTTCGGTCGAGTCGAAGTATTTTAATGGCCTGTGATGTATGCGCCTTGTAAGGTTGGAGTATCTCCGTACCGCGGCCTTTTAGAAGGCCAAGTTACCAGTTCCGCTCCGACCAACATCCAGAAATTTGCAAAAAAAATAATTTTAAATAAAAAATTATAATAAATATTCTTATTGCGCAATGCGGCAGGGAATGTCAGGCTCTGAGAGTGTATTTCTGATATGAAAAAAGGCTCCTCATAAATCCTCTCACAGAAAACTCATCCTACTGCAGTGCCAGCTCAGTTGGCATTTTATGCAAATCTCTCATTGCCATAGCTGACTTTTATGCGTTACAAATACCAACGCAGAAGCAGCAACAGCCGCGTTTGGCATATCTCCGTGCTCGCAAACAAATGATCCAGACACCGAGTATGCCACTACCAGCAGCTTCTTCGCAGTCAGAAGAATGCATTCGGATTAGATTTCCAACTTTCACATCTGCCGCAGCATCTCGTTTGACATTTACATTTGCAAGTTGCAGTTCATGCATTGTTATTGATCTTTTTACCTTTTTCTCGCATGATTTATCTGTTTTCTCCCAATTCCTTCCGCCTACGATATTGGTTTTTCAATCAACATTTTTTTTTTTTCATTTATTTGCTTAGCTGTTTTGTATTTGCATTTCTCTTGACAGTAACACCTGTCACATGTTTTTCGAAAAGTTCGTCGTGGAAAGAATAAAAAACAATGAAAAGTTGTTGATACAAAATGAAAACATTGCTTTTTGAATTTCAAAAGATACGAACTGTACACGTAAAGTAAAATATTTAAGAAGATGCATGCATTAACTTCATTTATAGAAATCAGAACTTAAATTTCTATGAAAGCCAAGTCGTTCCCGCTTTTTTCTGTTCGACGGCAGTTGAAAATATCAATTGAAACCAGGTCGCTCGCTGTCCAGCTGATCCTTCCATCGGAGTGGAGGACTTTCTCTTCCTCTCCGTCCATCAATGGGTACTGCATCGAAACCTTTCAAGGCAGAAGTGCTTTCATTTATTCGGATGACATGACCTAACCAGCGTAGCCTCTGTCTCTTCATGCGGTGAACTAAGTGAATATCATCGTATAGCTCGTACAGCTCATCGTTCCATCGTCTGCGGTATGTGCCGTTGTCAATGGGTAAAATACCATAACTCTTTCGCAAAACTTTTCTCTCGAAGAATCCCAGGGTTAACTCAACGTATGCTGACTCGTCACACCTCGGTACGAAATAGTAGAACGGCAACGATGAGTGAGCTGATCTTGATGGTTTTCCAACAAATGGAGGGACCTACAGTTTATACTAAGCCGCCTCCGAACGGCCGCCGTATGTTAATGAGTAACTTCTATTTCCTGTCAAAAATACACCCAGAGCGCTTGACTTACCCCGTCCAGGAGCGATTGCAGTTGAACTCTGGTCGTCAGAACGTTAGTACGAAGTGCTAATAACCCCTTGGCTATTGTGGCCGCCTGAGTCCTTACTATTTTCAGATCTAAAAGGGAGTTGAAAAGCTTCAATTGAGTATAACACTAACTATTTTTCAGTACATAAATATGTTCCCCTTAATAATAAAAATGGGTTTATATATATTAACAAGTTACACACACACACACACTCAGTTACGCATCATGTTCACATGCCGGTTGAGTGTTTTTAATTTTAAAATCTCACTGCTTTTAGAATTAATAATTTTTCGCTACCTGAACAAATTGGGTCCCCTCTCACTTGTCAAGCGCCTTTGCAACTCCATTAAAAAAGCAAAAACAAAAACAAAAAATAAAGAAAAAGATAAAACTAGAGTCACGCTTCAGTTCTGTTCGTTCGTTTGCGCGCGTCTGCCACTTTCTCAACAACCCCAAAGCCAGCGTTCACGTGCAACCTGATTCTACAAAACCTTTGAAATTATTGTAAATATGTACGTATGTACGTATGTACATACGAGTATATAAGTATATGTTTGTATGCACTTAACGTGCAAGTACTCATTGGATCTCCCCTCGGTATGCATCATATTTACGTGCAAGCAGATATAAATACAAACATACAAACAGAACACTGCAGCAATCATATACCCTGTTTGTTGTTCTTGTTGTTGCTCTTGTTGCAGTTGGTTGCGCTATTTGTGTGATGTCATCACAGTTGCAATAACATTAACATGAACACCCCATAAAAATGTCGGTGTTTACATGACGACGATGACGACGATGACGACGATGACGACGATGACGACAACGACGACGTCGCCGGCGTTGTTGATGTGCACGAGATGATGAGAATGTGATGAAGATGAGCATGACGTAAAGGACACATCCAATATTAGCATTCAAGTAAGTTGTTGCCACCGCTGAATCTATTACTGTCTACTCTACTAGATAGTGGTATTAGCTAAAAAAAAAAATAAAAAAAATAAATAAAAAAATAAAAAAAATTTAGTGTTCTTATAACCTTTCTCATTCATTATCGCGAACAACTCTATCGCCACTGCCAGTCACAATTCAATTGCTACAATATGCTGTTGGCAGAATTTCACTGTTGCTGCCGTTGTTGTGCTATCGCTGTAGCAGGCGGCATGCAACAAGCGCCCTGTCTGTTCTTTGATGGTATGGTGTATTATATAATATTTAGGGTCAAAGTGCTATAGTTTTTTGCGCTTCGCCGCACACGTAACGGTGAGTCACAGGTTTGTCGAGTGAATTGCAGCAGAGCGTGACGTAGTGTGGCTGCGCAACATAACTGATGGCCGGCTATAAAAGTGAAATAATATTTAACTGCCACAAATTTCGGAAGCAGGTAATAAATTTTATTGAAAATCAGTGAAAAATTTCCTGATTTAGTGGAAAAGTGGGAGACTCCCGGAATTAGTTAGTTGGTTGGGCGAACAAGCATATTCTCTTTTGCTCCTTTCTCATAAAAATTTGCATTTGATTCCACTTAAAGCTTTTAAGCTTTGATGCTTTTGCAGTAAATTTCACTCTTTGGGTTAATGAGCTTTCATAAATTATAATTCTTGAAACTTTTTATTTTGTCGAAAAATTAAAAATTTTCTCAAGTGATAACTTATTTCAAATTATGTATGTAACGGGTGATCCAAGTAGAGGTACTTTTTTTGCAGCTCACGCGTGAGTCGTGTCACGATTTCATGTTATTTGTGATTGGTATTTCATCATGGAAAGGCCTACACCTGAACCACGTTTACAAATCTTTACTTTATTACAAAAATTCAATAAGAAATGTGTAACGCGCGCTTTGCTGAACTTATGGGCAACATGAACCGCCAACTGAGCATACTATTCGCAAACCATCATCCATCTTACGATCCGCCTTTCATTATTGGATAATACTCGACCGCATAGACCTTGTCCACTACACTGAGAGTGTACACGAAGACCACGGAGAGTCGATTCGGTGCCGTTCGCAGCAACTCGGACTGATGCCTAGAACGACTTGGCGTATTCAACGTCGAGATCTTAAATTGAAAGCGTACAAAATACAGCCAGCTTGTGCAAAAACTGAAGCCGCACGACCTCTCGAGGCGACATTGCTACGCTATATTGGCTCTTGAAAAGTTTCAAGAAGATTCGGCATTTTCAAACTAAAATTTCTTCAGCCATGGGCCTCCCATTTCCGATTCAATAGGTTAGTAATAAGCAAAATTTCCGCGCTTAGGACGAAGAGCAACCTGAAGTGATTCATGAGCTGCCATTTCATCAAAAAAAAAAAAAAAATAAACAAAGGTTTGGTGTGGCGCGTTGGCCGGCGGAATTATCGGTCGATATTTCTTCGAAAATGATGCCAGTGAAAATGTAACCGTCAACGACGAGCATTATAGCGCCATGATAACTGACTATTTCATGCCTGGAATTGAAGCTCGTGATCTCGGCGACATTTGGTTTTAGCAAGACGGCGCCACTTCCCACACATCGCATCAATCTATGTAATTATTGAGAGAATACCCCGGTGAGCAGATAAAGGAGGAGTCCGGCCATGGGGCAAAACATCACGCATGCCATTCGCTAGTTACTAGTCGAAATGCTCGAACGAGTTATCGAAAATTGAACTCAACGGATGGACCATCTGAGACGTGACCGAAGTTCATGGAGAGCAGAGCTACACCCCTTCAGGAAAAGAATTCTCCAGCTGGGAAAAAGCCCACTCCTAGTGAGGGAGGAACGGAAGGCACGTCTTAATAGACCCACCACAGGCGAAGGTGGCTATTACAAATACTACACGGATTAAGCCAAAGTCACTAATACCGTGAGGGTTGCCACAGCGTCAAGTACAGCAAGAGCAAATGACTCCGATTATAGCTTTGCTATTCCGAAACTCGATGGAAAGTTAAACCCTCCACACACACAGCTCCAAAAGTTTTGGAAAAACTCGTTGCCATTCCAGTCGAGAAAGTGACAGTGGAGCAGAGAGCCAGTTTTAATAGGGCCAAGTAAAGTATCGCTTTCATAAGAAAGCGACCAGAAAACAACGGCAACGAGTAGCAAAAGCCCCTGAATCTGCTTCTAAGGCGCCCGGGGCTCCGGAGAATACCACGATACCAGACTCCAAGTGTTACACAGATTTAAAAACTGCCCAGTGATGAAAGAACACTGAAAATGATAAGGATATTCTGCGGAGAAACCCGACCGTGCGCTAGTTGCACGGTACCCGAGTTGGCTCAAAAGCTGATTGGCACTTGTTCCCTGCGCAGTTGAGAAAGCTGTACATTCCCCAATACAATTATACTACCTCTAATGTGGCAATCAAATGCAGAGGTATCTTCAACAAACTCTCAACTGCTTGTGCCGCATCTTTATAGGCACAACAACCGGTTTAATACTGCTGGGCTCTCCTTAACAGGTGGTACCAGATATGAAATTCTGCTTATGACGTCAACATAACATATCTTGTTGACTCCACAGTCGCCTATCACGTAGTTAAAACATTGTAAGAACATCACCCAGCGTGATGCTGGAAGAGGAACGTCTATTTTCTTTAATACCTTAACCGCAGCCAACACTTCCAGCTCATCAGAGTGTATATTTTCCGCTGTTGGCTTAGTCTTTCGGCTCAAATCCGGTACTGGACTTCAGCCGATACTGAAATATCTATGATCACAGAAAAGAGTGAAGATCGTGCGACGAGAGCGATATGTCACGGAGAAGGTTAGTGATCATGAAAGACCACAATGCACAGTAGCAGTCGCTGAATTTAAAAAGAAAGAGGACCTATCTTCTGAGACAGAATGAATGCTTAGGCTAGGCGATTGTAGGAAATGATACTCTAAACCACAAAAAGACGGCTGATGGAGTTTTTAGGGCGCTTTTATGCCTTATCAGGTTGATATTCCTCCGCCAGGTGCGATGGCTGTTTTAAGTTAATTTCTCTATTTTCAATGTTTTTTTTTTGACTAGGCTTCGAACCGTTGACACTGCGTAGTGAAGCATATAATGATCTATACTATACCGTTATCAAAAGCTTTTAAAGGAATTTTTTTTTCTAAAACGAAAGCGAAAACTCTTAAAGCTCTTTACCTCCGCGCGGAGAAAGAGCCAACCAAACAACGTAAGTGAAAATACAACAATCGAATATGAAGGGAATGGAAATGAAAATGAAGAACAAGCAAATCGTTGAATGTAAGAAACAAAACAAAGCGATGTAAAACCAAGAAGAGCCCAAGCAATTGAACTCTTGGGAAAAAATCAATAGGCGCATCCCTGAGCGCTAGGGCAGCTGTTTAACGCAATTTGAGC